TGTAAAATTACAAAGCGTAGCTCCCTTTCTGTCAAAAATAGGGCCAAAAAACTTGCCAGGGCCAACGGCGGGCGGCGACGCAGACGACCAAGTCGTCGTTTGACGTTCGTATTGATAGATGGCGCTACCTCCTTATCGAAACTGCTCGCGACCACCGTGGTTTATTAAAAGGAACATAACATTTTTGGAATGTATCTCTGGTTAAAAAATAAATGAGGACAATAAAAAAAAAAAAAAAAAAAAAAAACTAAACGTAAAAAAAAAAAGCGTTTGTAGAACAACCGCGCTTTTGCTGCCAACGGATTTCGTCTGCGTGTCGTCTGCTTTCTTTCGCTGGTCGGCTACACCTCCCGACGGTGACCTTACTCCGACGCTGCACCCGACGCCATCTACCAATACGTGCACCAAAAGCGTCGCGCAACTCGACTTGGTCGTCTGCGTCGCCACCCGCCTTTAACCCTAACAAATTTTTTGGCCTTTTATTTATTCATTTATTTAGAAAGGTTGCTACGTTTTGTAATTTTACGAGAAAAACCAGACCTGTGGAATACACCTTTGAAGAAAAGTTTAGATTGCAACGCGTAGGCGCCGATTTTTAAGGCCCATTTTGATCGAGCCTGGTGACTTGGGACACCCTATAGACCTTTTCTGCAAGTGCGCCGCCATCTTGAATTGACGTCACTTCCAGTATGGGCGAACACATTGTTTTGGCTTTACTACGCCAATAGAAGGCATTTCGGATATAAGCGTAACCGTCACACTTTCTCGTTTTGCCTCCCCTTTATTTTTTTACTATTTGCAGGTTGAAACGTTGGATTATTTTTTCGTCGCCCATACCGGATACGCCTATTAGGTTGCTGGGGACGAGAGTACACAGAAAAGGTCTATATATGACCGATATGCAGCATTTTTGTGTAAAAACTGATTCTTGGCTTCGTCTCACCGAGACGTAAATTCTGCGGGAAAGCGAACGTGCCAGTTTACCTTGACACATCCCTTTTGCTTTGAACTGCCATTACAAGACGACGTAAATATGATTCTAGTGATTTTATTTTATTTTATTTTACGTGCCCAAAAACAACCATTCTCTTTGGTGCATAAATATATAAATATGAACAGAAAAAAAAAAGAAAAAGGAAACGCAATCGCAGGTTTCAAACACAAAGCAACAAACACACGATATTTACAGTACGGCAACAAGCACTCTCACTTGGTTCCTGAATATCAAGTTCAGCATTTTCAATATTGATAAACATAGATTTTTTCCGTGACAGAGGAGATGGTTTACAGATTTAGCAAAATAATAAAACTGCAAACAATGGTATAAACTCTGCGTCTTATCCCATGTGATAAATAAACTCGGTGAAATAGGTGCAAGGGGAAGGCGCGCGCGTTATGCATGTATACACTCCGTGCGACGCGACTGGCGCGCCGCCGCGCGGCCGGTACCGAAGGTAGGCAGTGAGCACCCCAGAGAAAACGAAACCGAAACCACGCCGCGTACGTTGGTACGCGTTGAAGTCGGAGTGGTGCTGTTGCGCTGGGTTCACAGCTTAATGACGCAGCGTGTGCTGCGTCATTAAGTGCTTCAATAGGTATGCGTCGTATCTCGTGGAGACAAAGTTTCACAGTTTTTCACCTCGCCGATGTTTTGTGGGACAGCGACAACAATGGAGCCGTGCCATACGGCGCGAGAAATTTGGTGTCCCGATCATGTCTGCCACTGTGTCGACACGGCTGACAATTTCTATACTGCCGCTTTGCGCTCTGCGTTTGTTTTCGTACCAGTAACGCCTACATGTGTCAGCGCCGATGGGACGAACTGAAATGCCATCCCACACTCGCGGGTGTGCAGTGCCAATTTCGTTGGAGGAATGCCCTCCAAAGAAGTTTCGTCCCTATCGTACGAGTCGATGATAATTCCGGACAAATATGGCACGCAATCTGTACTTCATGAAGAAAGATTCGAAGGGTAAAAAAAGTGAAAAATATAAATCTAAAGAAAACAACCATGAAACTCGGAATCACTGGAGAATCGGCGTTTGAGTATGGAAGTTTATGTGGTGTGCTTTCTTTCTTGATCAGCCTCCTTTCGGATGTGGAAACACTGACACCCCGAGTTCTGTAGACAACAATTTTTTTTTCTCGGCTTTAGAGCCACCTATCGCAAAGTGGTTCGAACTGGAAGTACCGTCCACTGGTCCCTCCTACCTGTAAAGTGTGCACCTCCCACGATGAGTGGTATTTTCTGACAGCCTTTGACGGTCAAAGCCAGTTCCCATTTAGTTACGCCGCCCAAACTAAATTTCCACCTGGTTTCGCTATGCCAACTATTTTTGTTATAATAAGTGTTGTGCCAAGTGACGGTCATGTCAAAGTACCTGTGGGCCGAAAATCAGCACCTCGCACAACAGGTTATTACACAACAGCTGACCGCAAAAGTCCTTGGCGGCCAAACCGTGTGTTGGCCGACAACTTTGTTTTCTCGGCTTTGGAACCACCTTTCGTAAAGTTGTTTCAACTGGAAGTACAGTCCACTAGTCCCTTCCTACCTCTAAAGTCTCCACCTCCCCCGACCAGTGGTATTCTTTTGACAGCCTTTTCATGGTCAAAACCGGTTCCCATTGAGTTACGCCGCCCAAACCAAATTTTCACCGGGTTTCCCTATGCCCCCTTTTTTTTTTTTTTTTGTATAATAAGTGCAGTGTCATGTTACTGTCAAGTCCAAGCACCTCTGTGCCCAAATCTGCACTTTGCACAGCCCGCTATAACACAACATTTTGGGTCCAGTATTGGATATACCGTACAGCTTTATTTCTTTATTCGTTAGAAACAACTTTCACACCTGCCGTCTTAATGAAACTTGGCACACTTCGTGCAGAAACTTAGTGAACATCTCACTCGCCTCCAATATCATCGTTCCAGCAGTCCTACGTTTACAGCGACGAGCGAAATAAATTTCCCACTCAAAGCAATTATGGTGGCGGCCGTCTTGCTTTTCAGAAAATTGCTTAAACTCCTTTTTTGGCCGCAACTAGAGGAATTACCCCTAATAACGACTAAAACTCAATATATAAGAAGAGTAGAACAGCTAAATGCCTTTGTTAGGTCTGCCCCAGCATTGATGCAACGTCACCCTTAACGTATCGGCTCGAAAAGCAAAAGTTTCGTCCGTGCGCGCTTCCGCCGCCACAGCTTGGCATGCGAAAAGGCGCCGCAGGCTGCTGAACGCGCCTCGCGGTCGAACGCCAGCTCCTCCGCTAGCGGCGCTGCGCGCGTTTTTCAAAGCGCCCCCTATAGTTCCTGAAAGCAACGAGGCAATGGATGGACAACGTTTCAATGCAAGAACTTTCCATCACGTAATTTATTTTCTGGCAGAAGTCACTTTATATTTACCCCTAATAGTGCTAAACCTGTGGTGCCAATGTTAAGGATAAACAAAAAAAAAAAAAGTTTACGATATTGACAAAGCTGTGTGAATCACCCGAAAACGCGTGCGTGACATTTCAAGCCTCCCGCAGTTCTATCTCTATCCTCCCCCGCCCCCAATTAAAAAAAAAAAAAAAAAAAAAAAGAAGCAGACATCTTATCCCCCCTTTTTTTTCTATCTTTATCTCTCTCTCTCTCTCTCTCTCTCAATCCCAATCCAACACCATGTCAAAGCAGGTTTCGGTTTTGGTTTTCTACACCTGAGACTGGGGCAGGAAGAGCACACAACATAAGGTAGTATAAGAGGAGGCAACGTCTCCTCTTTTACGTTGCCGAGACGTTGCCTCCTCTTTTACTACCTTCTGTTGTGTGCTCTTCCCGCCCCAGTCTCAGGTTTACAGTCATGTTCAACTTACACCAGCTCGCCTGCACTCTGACTATTTTTTTGGGTTTCTAGGTGACTAATAGTGTTTGCGAGCTCGTTTCTATGTTTATTTCATCTTTTTCTTTTTTTACAAAAGTTGCGGGAAACATTGGTTGGCAATTTTATGGCGAACTTGTGCCGAACTCCGTTTGTGGATTTGATGTGATACAACTCCACACTCCACGATGAGAGTTGAATCGCTGGCTCTAGCTCTATGCATGGCACTTTACCTTGTTTTTGAACTGTTCTTAGGCTACTATGTTGATTGAGCTGTGTTCAACAATTTCGAAATACATCAATATGAGGACGCATGAGAATACCATGCCCAATTTGTAAAGCACTAAAGCAGTCGTGTCCAAACATATAAGAAAGTGTCAGACGAAGAGGACGGACAGGACGTTTGTCCTGTCCGTCCCCTTCGTCTGACTCTTTCGTATATTTTTGAATTTATTACCAACGCGCTCAACCCAAGTTTGTCAGTCGCGTCCGTGTTGACGTTTACGTGTTGCTATCGTTATAAGCTTAAAACCGTCGCTGGCCTGGTATATTCGTAATTTGACATTATGTCGCGGCCTTAGTGGAATTTTACGTTATAAATTGACATTATCTTTGTGAGAAATACATCTCGCGGGCTAAAAAACAAAAGCAACCTATCGCCGTACAGTGAAACCGAAACCTAAAAACCGAACTTTTGTAGTTCAACTTTTGGATTCAACAAAAAATATTGTTGCTCCTCCAGTACTCTTCGAAATCCCCGAGTGTGAACGAAGTCTACGTTGGCACGTTTTTGAGCGACACCTCTTTTGCACACCTCAAACGTTACAAAACTTTCACGCACTTTCGCAGTTTGCACGACACAGTCGTCATCTGCCGAATATGAAAGAAACTACTTAGAGTTGCGTGACCGGCCCACAAAACCTGCGATGAAGAAATCTGTTTGAATTTTTTAATTAAAATAAGTCGCCAATATTAAACGTTTATACAATAAATAAATAAAATTTACTACACAAATAAATTAAACTTAAGTAAATTTAATAATAAAACTGACGTGAGATGATGCATGTTTGTTTGTATTTTTTTCAGCGACGGCATCAGCATTTTCAGCGCTGCCCGCCACGCTCATACAAGAGTAGAGGCATCACGCGCGCTTGTACGCAGGAAACCTGTCGTGCCACATTTTGCTCGCAGCAGGACATGCGCACAAGTACCGTAAATTCAACGGCCTATGCTGCTTCGTGGGGGCAGGAGTTTAAAATATCTACAGCTGGTGATACCACTGTACGCAAAAGTGAGTCGCAACTTTCCCTCGAAAGCTCCGATTTCGGACAGCGTGTTAACCGAGAGCCATCGTCGACCATTCGGCGTCGACCGTAACCGCCAGTGCGGTTTGAACGCATCATTCCCGGGGGAACCGATGTGCGGTGGTCCCCCCACCTCCATCGGCGAGATGCTTTCATGACCTACTATAAACACTGTTTCCCTCGGACAGTGGCGACGTAATAATCGCTGTTTTTGATCGCCGTTTTCCCTGATTTCGTCGACTTGGGCACTATCGGTTGTCTCGTTGGGGCGGCGGCGACGCGTCTTCAGGCCTCGTCGCCTGGACAGTCGAGTCCTCGATCCTTCCATCGCGGTGGTCGCAGTTTTCGGGACAGAGAAATAACCTTAGCAAACGGCGGTAAGCCGGTTTCACATCCTTGCCTGACTCTAACACCCTACTCGGGATGTGTTGAGCGACGCGGAACCCGAAATCGCGTACGAGGCGACGAACTCGTGTGCTCTCCTCACCAACGTCTCCGTACGCTTCATCGCCATAGCTGTATGGTACTACACGGTCTCGCAGCTACTTGCCAAAACGGCGTCACGGAGTTATCGTTCTTTTCGGGCACACTTAGAACCGCGACGCGTCATCGTTTTTTTATTAATTTGTTCGTTCAAACTCGGCGTTCCTTCCTACCAACCGTTTCGGAGACTTCGACGATGAGTTCGGCCCCCCCCCTCAATCCCCCCGCTTCACAGCGGACCGTCGCTCGTCCGCTTTTTTGGGTCATTCCCGATGAAAACGCGAGTGCTAGATTCTATGTTTCTTTTCGTTTTTTTTTTCGGAGGTTTTTACGAGGTGTTGTTTTCTGTCAGGATGTCTGGGGTGCAAAAGGCCCCCAGCCTGGACCTGAAGCCCCCTGACAAAGGGGGCGAGCAGCCGATGGACTTGGCGCCCCGTGCTTCGCACATTGCCAAGCCCGTCCAACAGGCGACCGCGATCGGCCCGACGTTGCGACCGCACTTGGACGCTGCTAAGTCGGCGTTTACGGTGAGCTTGCTTTTTTCTTTTTAATTTTTTACCTAAGGCGTATCAGCTGGCTTGTCAGCTGGCTCTGTGCGCATTACGATCTGCGTTGCGTTACCTTTACGCGAGTCGGCGTTGTGTTTGTGTTTTTACGTTGGTTTTCTTTAAGTTAGCTCTCTTTTGTTTTTACCGCCTGCGATCGGCGCCCCGTCACAGAAAGACAGCATTCAGTGGCGGATTGTTAGTCTTTGGTGGCCACCAGAACGCGGGTCGCATCTCGAGGTGTTTTCATTGGATAGCCATGCCGCCGGTGGAATAGCCATCAAACTTTGAATGCTGTTTGGCGTTATAAAAAGCCTCGCTTTCTTCACCTATGGGAATGTTTAGCTGCAACACCATGCATATTTGTCAATTCATATGTATACGAGACTGGTTAGGGGTATTGACATGCTTTTTCTCCGGCTATCTACTTAAAGTGGTTGTAAACCGGTTTGGTTCTAATTTTTTTGTGCCTTGTTCACTCCTCCATATGCAGTTTCCATAGTACCTCAGTCAAGGATTGTGTCAGTGTATTTTTATTTCTATCTTGTAAATGCATTGCTGAAGCAATCTTGCACTGCTCTACCCCATTACATCATGACTTGACAAACAGTGAAAGGTATGGCCTCAGTGAGTGTGTTAACAGTAACTACTAAACAGAGCATAGTGTATGAGTGTGCGATACAACAAAACAACTGATGCTATTGATTATGACACAAGCACAGAATGTTATGAATGGGTGGTAGAGGTCACAATTCTTTGAAAGAGTAAATTTACCAAGGCCTCTCATAAATGCATTAAACCGTTGAGTGTAAAGTGAACAAGTCGGTGATACCGTGAAGTGTGTCTATGAATATTTTGATACCCTTCAAAGGTTAGTTGTTTCAAGCACTAACAGAGCGAATTGCTGTGACCAATCTATTTCGTGCCTGTCATACCCAGATTTAAAAATATAGCATTCTTGGATTGACTCGTTGAAATGGGAAGCTTTGTCAAACCTGTCGAAGCTGTTTTGTTTTGCAGCACGAGTACAGAGCACCTCTATGTATGCGATTGCCACACCACTGTTTGATAAATGGCACACTAATCCATTTTCAGATGAGACAGTATGCATGAGCAAACCCTTCCCAAAACACAAACTGAGGTTTTGGCTTTTCATTCCAATTGTTTTAACTTGCTTGGCAAAGTGCATTTCAATTAAAAAAAGCAGCGGTCTTGTGCGTCCCCTTGTTTTGAGAACTCTTCTGTCAATGCAACTATTTTGCTTGGGCAAGCAACGACACAGAGTGCCAAGAAGCAACTCGAGCTCCAAGAAAAAGTATGTGCATGTGGAGCATGGTTCAAGTATCAATATTTGTTAGGTTTCCTGTTCATTTAGTGAACGGAGCGGAGAACCAAACTCTTGTGCTTTGGAGTATGGACCTAACGTGACCATCAATGGCACCAAATTGGGTTCTTTAGCTTCCACCTTTTAAAATGCTATGCTGAAATGGAGTATAGTGACCACTATGGGAACCGATATGTCCAACACTCGGTAAAGAAGATGCCTCGAGTCATGACATTGTTTGTAACAAACCTGCATGACTGGGTCTGCATCACAGGCAATGTTCAGAGTGTCCCAAGCTGCAAGCTGCACTCTAAATCTTCATCGTTGTGTTTAAGTACACATTTTTTTATTTATTTTGCAGACGCTCGGTCAAAGGGTGTCATCATCTCCGAGACCTGTCATACAACTTCCCCTAACCGTGGCTTCTACTGGTGGCGTCAACACTTCCGTCACCCAACCTTACACCATCAAATCTGGTGCGTCATTTTGCTGTACATAATATGCTAGGAGTTGCAAAGAGAGAAGGGGTCGTTCTCTCGCGGCGTGTGTGCTTAGCCTTTTTGGTGTGCAGAACTGGTGGGGGAAAAAATTATTTTTTCGATTTCTGTTGTTTGGCTTAATATTTTGGGTATCATATAAAAGTGAGGGGAGTGCTGTTCCATCTGCTCTAAATTGTGCTATGAACGAAAGTCTGCTACATCTTGTGCCAGAATGCCATTTTTGCTAAGAATTGCACCAAACCTGCGCCAACATGAGCAAAGTAAAAACATAAAAATATTTATTATTGGTCAACTTCATTATTGAGAGAACTAGGAAGAAGGGAGAATGGTACAAATATATATTTCACAGCGTCTCTGCTTACCTACTTACAGTATAGTTTGTCTTATCATACTTGGGTCAGAACACAGTCGAAGACTCTAGAACATACAACTACGAACACGCACACTAAAAGCATGTCACAGGGCATTTGCTGTACTTGATTGTTTTAGTTGATGAAAGAATACAACACAGGAAGATGGATGAATGTCATGATGTTGCACTTTGTTGCTGTTTGGTTGGTCCCCTTGACTCATAACGTCGGCTGCGCTTTTAATTAAGGTGAAAAAAGGTTCAGAGATTGCTCGTCAACTGCGCTGGCTGGTTAATCGCCGACATCGTCTAAATTTTCAGACGATGTCGGTGATGTCGGGAGCGAAAAGTCACGAGAAAACATTGCAAAAACACTTAGGTGACGCTTAAGCTTCGTCTTTAAAAGTGGGACACGATAGTGTTATCGTGTCTTGTTTGCAAAGCCTTCTCATATAAACACGTGCTCATTATCAAGCCGTGCAAGTGTGTGCATGGTAGTGTCACGTGACGTCGCATGTGGCTGTGACGTCGTGACCCTATCGACCTGCTAGCTCTGGCGGGAGAATTTTGTGCTAAATATGGCAGGAAAAGTTTCTGCCATATTTGTAACCGACTTCTTTATAACCGCTTTCGACAGTATAATACTCTCCGAAGTTCTTCTTATCCTGGTTACTGGGTACCCACGAGCCCTTGGAAATCTAGAACATTCCAGAAGTTCACTCGAAAAGGCACCACATTTGTCATTCTCAAAATTTGCACATCTTGTCATAATGAAAAATCGTGAAAAAGAAATTAATTTATGGTCCACACACATACGTATATAGTTTGCACCACATAAAATTTCGGCTTGTAAACATCTAGATTTTGAAAAGTAGAGTACTCCGCTTGTCCACCATTGTTTTGGAAAAAAACCCCTTACTTAAACGACAGTGCACATTGTTTCGGTGTGTCGTTTCTAAACGGTGTCGACGACGGCGGCGCCCACAGGTCCGGCAGTGTCGCAGCTGTCTACGCTCCGGCACATGGTGTCGTCGTCGACGGGGGGCATCACGCTCAATGCCAACACGATGGCCTCCCCCATGGCGTCCATCATCCGAGGCAGCACCATCACCACCACCCAGATCGGACACACCGTCTCTCACCAGTACTCCTCGCACGTGCCACGCGGTGAGTCTTTTCTAGGGGAAATCGAGCTGCGGGGCAGCGGTCGATTTTGGAACGCTTGCCTTCGAGCAACTTTGCTTTTGCTGAAGTTACAAGTATTGCCATCTGCCACACTTCCGCGAAGCAAAAGGCTTCTTTTTGTCTGCTCCTAATCCTGAACTGCGAGCATAGCAAAGGGAGTTGTACCAACGCCTCTTAGTTAAAGGAGCTGTGCAACAATTTCAGTGCCTTGCTTAAATAATTTGGGAGTTGGTGTCTTGACCTTTCTGAAATAAAGAACAAAAAACTGCTTTTGCCTGCCTGTTCTAGTTTTTATTTTGAAAATTTACAAAGATTGAGGTTTTTAGCACCTCTCAACTCCTTCACTGTCTTCCGAGTCATGTGCGGTGTGACGTGAATGGGGGACGCGCGGGGTTCCGGTGAAGCTTTCTTTTTAGGGCCATCAGTGAGCAGCGAAAACTCACCCACTCGCGACCACGTGACCACGTGGTTGTGCGGCACGATCGACATGGCGAAAGGAGGAAAGTCTCGTCCAAGTCTGGCCGTCCCCGTTCGGCTCTGCCCCCGTCCCCCTCCGGCTTCTGGCGGCTGTTCGCGGTAGCACATAGAGCTGACGGTTTTGTACCTCGGATAGATGGCGCCGCTTAAACTCCATTTAATAAAAGTTTTGTCGATGATACCAGGTTTTTGACGCATTTATATTTATGTTGGAATGACAAGATTTATAGAAAAATTACCTTTTAGCAGGTATTTGCACAACTTCCTTTATTTTTACAAGTCCCCCATTGACTTCATGCCGCAGAGTTCTCGTGGTCGCCGCTCGCGGCTGCAGGTCGGGAAATATTCTAATTTTTGCCTCGCGATTACGCGGTAGAATCGCAACATTTCGAAAGAAGATGTGTTTTCTGTCCTTTGTAGCATGATAAACAATGCAGTGATGTGATTGCTGCGCCATTTGTGGCAAACTGTGCCAAAGTGCTTACCGTGCTGCACCCTGCTACATTTGACCAAAATGTGAGGAATTTGCACCAACACTGCACTAGAACTTAAGCTCACTTAAATAATACTGAAAATATAGCAGCTGCAGGCCTTGCTACCGGGCCGGATCGTTAGGGTAGGCTCGTGCGGGTTTTCAGGACTTTCGATAGTCGCCTCAAAGAACGTACTACTATTAGATTTGATTTCGCACCAAGCACTGACAGTACTCGGAAGTTTCGCTATAAGTCTTGTGGTTTGTTCTGGTGGGTTAGTTAGCTTTGTTAAATGCGCTTTTCACCGCATACTGGTGTACTCCAGTGAGGCGACAATCGCGAACTGGGCGTCGCAATGTTGCGTGTCTTGCTTCGCCGCAGCGCACCCGCGTGCTAAGGGGAAAGGTACTCCTCCAGTGCGAGACATAGTGCAAGAATGGACTCTTTTGTAGGTTTATTAATGCGAAAGGGCATTTTTTTATGCTTTTGTTTTTTGTCTGAATTAAGAATTGCGGTTTTGTTACAACACCCCCTAGAGCTTGAAGGACACATAAATCTAGGCGCTCAAAATGACTGTATTTTAACATTTGTTCAGTGGGATTTCGTACCTAAAATAATCATTCATGGCAGTTTGCGCTGTTCTTCATCAGTCTTCTTCTTGTTACCGTGTCTGGTGCTTCCACATGCAGCTAAACAGCTAGTGTTTGTTCTCCTAATATTTGCCATCTGCTCCTCACATTTGCAGTGATATAAAGGAAAATAAAGTGTGTGGTTATGCTCCAAAAGCTCTTTTTGCTTCTCCAAAATGAGCTTTTGGCTGCTCCAATAGCTGCTCCAAAATGACTACGACCAATCACATCACTGATAATGTCAAAAGTAGAAGATGCAAATTCTTTCAAGGTTAAAATCGTTGCACAGCTCCTTTAACGAGTAAAAGTAACTGTGTCGTGCACTTGTTTAGACATGGGGAAGCTAGTCAGTCCTATTGGGCGTCTGATGTTGCTGCTGTAGACGATAAATCTTGCCAGTGCAGTACCACTGTTAGTGTAAGGTCTTTAATAGGCACCACACAGTTGGGACACATGACTGTGCTGCCGGTACGATGCTCATCCAGATTGAAACGGGTGGGATATGTAACTGGACCCAGGATTCGTGGGTTCTTCAGGGTGAGCTTTTGCTCCACAAGCCGTAGCGTGCTAACGCGCTCGCCCATTGATCCTTCCTAGTTAACGAGGCCGTAGTACTGCGTTTTCTGTCACCTATCCAGCGGGGGGCACACATTGTACACGAGCTCCGCGTCAGTGTTCGGCGGGAATTAGTGTCCTCGCTGATTAAGGAGGAGTCCTAGCCGAACACTGACATGGCACCACTCACGTGCTGGCCGTTAGGAGGTTGGGGGGGAAGAAGACGGGGGGAGAGTGATGGAAGGTGAGGTAGTGGAGAGAAGGAAGAGGCTTTCCACCAGTGCTTAACTCCCCGTGTCGCCGACAGGACCTGCGGCTGTGGCAAGCATCAACACAGCCCCCAAGTCGGCGCTCGCCACTCCCATGCTGCGGTCATCCATGGGCCAGGTGACAACCACTTCCCACATTCCTGTCGGGGTAAGCGCTGCTGCCTTCCCGTCCAGTCCTTGCGCCTCTGCTCGCGTTGTTGGTTGTGGGACATGACAACTTTGACCCTTAAGAGAGCGGTAGCATTTCGCAGTTTGACCATTCGGGGGCAGATTTACCAACGGGCAGTGTAGGCAGCAGAATTTCAGGGGCAACAGCTTTTGGAGGGTCTGCACCACTAGAGTGGCGCAGACCCTTTGGAAGCCAACCATGTGCACACAGCATGACGAAGGCGAGGCTTAAAATCTAAGCCTTTTTCAGGAAAGTAGCACGCCGAAATATATGTGCACGTGTGTCTCCGACAACCCAGGGGTGCGTTTTTAAAGACTACCGGCACGGCAAAAGGCCCTGCGCTAATGCGATGCTAACGACGAGGGACTTTCGAGATTTTCAGAAAGTGACGGGTGGGTAGTTTGATTCAAGTGGTGTCTACCCGGTAGGGACACTCGGAAAGAAGATGCTTTTGTTCGCATTATCGCGGTGGCCAAAGTGGCAGTCCGTCGAAACTAGGCTGTTTGGTGGGTACCCAGAATGGACCAATCGTGCAGCGCCACAAGTGCACCCTCACAGCTGAACTAATCGCACGCAGAAGAAACCGCAGGAGCATTCGCTGTGCCCAATAGGTTTAACCCGGGATAGCAGATGCACGAAGACAACGAGCGCCGTGATGACACTTTCGGCACCACACAATCGGCTCCGACGTATTGCGGCGTCGGCTGCAGTCTGACTTTGAGCGAAACGGAGAATGGCCTATGACGGTTCATATTTTGTGGGTTTACGAGCGTGGTTTCCAGCATGCTGATTCCGTTTTGTGCATCTTCTTTTTCCTGCGTACTTGCATGTCCGTCGGCAACTCCAGGCCCGATCGTCCGGTCTGGTGCCGGCAAGGACCTCCTTCACTCCTGTGCCCCGTTCTGCGCTCTCCATGGCCCAAGTCATGGACTTGCAGAAGTGAGTCCCAACGCTGTGCTCGAAAAAGCAGCCAAGCGACACGCGCGAGCGAAACGCGGAAGAAGAAGCGGCGCTTGTTTCTTTTCAACCGTGCGGCACGGTGCACATGAGTGTTTTTTTTTCTGGAAGTTGCTTTACAACTATGATGTTCCATGTTTTCGGTGTGTACCGATAAACCCCAAAGAGTAACCCCCGGGGCCGGTCTTATCAAAATTGGGGGGAAAGCTGAAAAACATATAATTGAAGCTGTCCTTCAATAAGGCAAACACGAATTAGGCACTAAGAAACCTATATCTACAGGGTGTCACAAAAGAAAATTTACACGGTCTTTTTTACCGCAAAAATAAACTAGGCATCGCCGAACTCTCATTCTCCACCCAAAGGTAGAGCTAGAGGTCACAACCAGATGCCAAAGTTTCAGCCTGATCCGATAACTTAATCAAAAGTTATAAGTGGTTTTCTGAAAATTTCAATGGAAAAATTGCGGCCGACGGAGTTTTCAAACACATGGGGCTCTATGGCACCAGAAACCGAAAACGGGCAAAAATGGACTCCATTTTCCCATTGACATTTTCAGAAAATCACTTATAACTTTTGATTAAGTTATCGGATTGGGCTGAAACTTTGGCATCTGGTTGTGACCTCTAGCTCTGCCTTTGGGCAGAGAATGAGCGTTCGGCGATGCCTAGTTTATTTTTGCGGTAAAAAAGACTGTACATTTTTTTTTGTGACACATTGTACATCCTCTTTTTGTGTTGACTTAAAACACAGCCCACACTAGCCTGCTCACTAGACTTTTTTTTTTTCTGGATTTATTTGCATTGTTTACTTCTTTTTATCGGTACCGGGATGTTGTTCCCCGGAAATTAGGGAATCCCATGCTCATATTCTTTTTTTTGTTCCCGACAAACGTCAGATTTAAAGAAAAATAAATCTCAAAAGCATGGAACCCCCCACCATCCATTCCCATTTTTTTTTTTTTTTTTGTGTGCTCTGAAGGCAGCCATTGGTAGTTCTTTTCTGTTGGAACCTGTTTATTGTACTAGTATTTCCTATCATTTCTTGCTTTACATTATACGCCTTCTATGGGATTAGGTCTCCAAGCTTACGGACTCTTTCGTGCATTTTCATTCACCTCAGGTCCGGCTCTCATGGTGGCGGCCCGGTTCAAATCGGGTTGTCTTCGGGCAGGCCGCTGGAACCTCTGCCAAGAAGTACTCTGGGTCACTTGCCTGTTGCCATCAGCAAGCCGCTGCACATGACTCAGCCAATTGTGCACAGCTTGCATCAGGTACCGGACTGAGTCTTTGACTTTTCGTAGAACTTCTATGTATTACTTTTTGTTTACACGAGCATCAGCTTTAAAATTCCTCCGCACACCGAGGGATTCGAGCCGGTGTTAGATTGTGTGCGAGGGTTTGGCCTAATTTAAGCAGTGTACACTGTGCGGCACTGTTAGCGTGAAGATGGCAATGGTGGTTGTCTAAATTTTACTTTGAAAGGGCATAAAATTTTACTGCTTAGGTTGGTGCCCTAAATTGGTACCTTTTATTACACTAGTGGTTTTGATGACAGCCCTTTGGTACTATGAGTAAAAACCTTGATAATTGACGATGGCTCGTTCACGCTAACAGTGTCCAGCAGTGCACATTTGTGAGATTCATATATATATGTTTCAGAATATCAGATGGAAGTTCAGTGGCCGACTACCATATTAATCTTTTGGAGATCCCCGATTTCAGTCTGAACCTTGCTTCAAGCAGGTCTTTCTTCCAACCCCGATTGCAGAAAGCACCGTTCTAAGGAATCGTGCTTTCGGCATATAATGTTGACAATGGGAGGCTGGAGAAAAACTCTGTGCACATCTCCTAAAGCATCAAACAGAACTAATGTTGCTAAAAGCAAAAGAAAACAAAACATAAATGAGTTTGTATGGTGTTGTCTAAGCACTTTTCTCACAAACTGTGAGTGCATTGCCGAGCAGCTGGACAGAAACTCTGCGCACCTGTTTCAAAGCATTGAACACATCTAATGTTGCTGGCTAGAAAAAAAAAAGAGTTAATGACAGTTTGTTTGCCATTGTTCAAGCACTTCTTCACAAAGTAGAAGTGCATTGCTGAGGCTGGGCAGAAACTCTGGAGCTGTGATGTTCAAAGTAGCACTGTAACACTTTGACGGCATTTCTCACTGCGCAGTCCGGCACTGAAATGGGATCAGGATCGCACCCCATGTCGTCATCACTTGACTGGTCTTCATCCTGAACTCAACAATCAGTTCAAGTCTTTCCTCACGACATGTTGCAATGTTTGCATCCAGCGTTTCATAGTCCTCTCGAGTGAAAGAAGTGGATTGGATAACCTGACTGAAAAGGGTGTCAGCCTCAGCAGGCCAGCGGCTACAGACATCTCTATCGACTGCTGCACTTTCTCCGAAACAGTCTTAAAGACAAGACCATGCCGCTTTTTGAAACAACTCGGCCAACCCTCACTTACCCTGAAGTTCTCGATCCCCATTTGAGAGAAAATCTTTCGGGTCTTCTCCTCCAAGAGGGGTCCGTTGATCGGCAAATTGGCACTGCGTGCACACTTGAACCAGAGTAGAAGCACATCCTCAATTTTACTGTACGCCGTCGTCCGCATCCGCATACGATCCTTCGTGAAGCTCCCATGCTCGATGGCGTCTTCAATCTTTCCTTTGTTCTTCAATATCCTCGACAGTGTGGACTTGGGGATCCCAAATTTCTGGTCAATTTCAGTCTTTGTAAGTTAATTGCGATCAAGTTCTTGAATTATCATGACTTTCGTTGCGAGCGAAAGTGCGTTGTGCTGTCGTTTCTTGGTGGTTTCCATTGCGGATCTACGACTAGCGCGATTAGATATGACGACATCGTTTACGCGGGAACATGTGCTACCGTTTGATTGGCTTGGCTAGACTATGGTGGCTTGGCTATTGCTCTTCTTCATAGTTGCAAGACTGCCCCGGCTATTTTAAACGTTTATAGTTTTCGTTCAGTTTATTTTCATTTAACCGAAGTAAGAAAAAAAAGTGTTCCGGTTAGCCGAACATTTTTATCACTTTTGGTCTCTTATGTATTTACATAAGAGACCAACCAGAGGTGCCTACATAGTTTCGTTTATGCATATTTTTCGTTTAACCGAGTTTCGTTTAATGGGAGTCCACTGTATATGCATTTCATGTTCAATGAAAAAGAAATGGAGACAAAAGGGATGAGTCGATACCCTTAAAGGGGTGATGCAACGATTTTTGTATTTCGCTCAAATGGCGCTTAGAACGGATCCCTGACGTTAATGACCTATGAAACACCCGTTCGTATTTCACCCCACGCAATAGTAGTCCCAGAAAAAATTTAAAGAAAAACGAGCAGCGTTCACCCCCTCAACTCGTAGCCAGAACAAGCGGCCACGTGATCTTGAGCCGATTATATGCCGCCAATGTTGATTATAGCCACGCGCTGGGGTTGGCAAAGCACAGGACACGCGCTGAGTTTCAGACATTGTTATGGTTCGGCTGTTGTCGTCATTGCAGCGATTGGACACAGAACACTACCCGAATGCTTCTCGAGCTATCGATTATCACGAGCCCAAATCGAGTGTCCACGCCATGCTCTGGTCCAATCTATGAGCCGCATTCAAATATCGTCACTGGGCGGTATTGCTACCGCCCAGCTACGTCATCAGGTTTTGCGAAGGAGAGATTGAATGAAAACACTCGGTTTTGTCCTCGAAATTACAGCGCAACAAGGGAGTTTCTTGGTCAGTGGCGTTGCGTGCGAGTATCCTTGAGTCCCACTAGTGCCAGTAAGGTCGTGTAAAGTGAAAAACATTCCAATTGAATATCGTTGCACCGCCCCTTTAAGTTAAGTGTCATCATCATTCATTCGTCATTTATTAAAACCATGAAAGCCCTTACGGGAATTACACAAGGTGGGGGTACAGGCTAGGAAAAATTGTTATATAAAGCAAAAAACAGAAAAAATAAAAATACAAACACCCTCAGGGAAAGAACAGCTACCGTGAGGTTCCGAGAGAACGGCTGCCCCCGAGAGATCACCCATCCCGTTTTTCTGGCTAAATATCTGTAACATAAAAAATTCTGAAACATTGCCCACCCCCCGATTCCCGTCTGACGTCATGCAATGTCCGATGGGAATTGCATCCGTCGTGCGATCTGCTGTACCGGTACGTCTGATAAGCGAGCTCGTAGCGGGTTCCTGTGTTTTTGTCCGCAATCTGCACGTGTGTTTGTCCGATACGCGAGTTCATAGCGCATTTCCGCGGTTTTGCCCACGATCTGTGTGCGCAATATCAGTTTTCATGATAGGCAAGTTTTTGGCGGGTTCCCGCATATTTATAGCACTATAAAACTTGAATCTGCTACGTCCTCAACTTACAGTATTCATTTCCGTGAGATGCGAGTTCTTGGCGGGTTTCCGCAGGTCCTTCGCACGGTAAAATGCGAATCTGCTGCGACCGCAACCTGTGGTGTCCTTTCCTGTGACACAGGAGATCGTAGCGAATTCCCGTGTGTTTATCGCATCTTAAAATGCGAATTTGCGGTGTCCGCGATCTGGAGCATCGCTTCCTGTGTCACGGGGTTTGTAGCGGGTGCCCCGGTGTTTATCATTAATTTTTGATTAAGTTTTTCTGTGGCATCCCCAAAGATAGCCCACCCCATGTTTTTCACCATTTATCTCTTCATTTTGGGTATGCATTCTTTTGGAACTTCATGGTAATTAAAAAGAGAAAAAAGTACACAATTAGAACATTTCTACAAACACAAATCGAGTTTGCCATTTTTGCAACTGCAAATGGGTGGTTAGTTGGGATATGAATGTGTTATGATCTGTCTGAGTCATGATACTGTTAAACAGGTTATTCCAGTCTGTTATCGTTAATGGCAAGGTGGAGTTATAAACGAGACTGATGAAGCGAAAATTGAATAGGCTTTACAGACATTACCAATGCAAAGAAATATGTGAGTGGGTTTGAATAACATTGGAGTTCTGATATCATAGTTATGATAGTAAATCTTGCGAAAAAGGAACAGGTGTGACAATGTTCTTCTAGATGAGAGCAGATCAAAGTTAGATTTCATTCTTAATGAGGTAATGCCGGTGTCTCGTGAGTAATCCAAAAATATGAATCTGCACAATTTCGAAGTGCCTCTATGTTTGTTACCAATAAATATTGCCAAGGGGACCAGATGGATGACTCATATTCAATTTGTGATCCTGCGAGTGTAGTGTAGACTGGTTGTTTTTACCGATGATGGTGCAAGTTTTAGATTCCATCGAAGATAGCCAAAAGAGTGGTTAGCGTTACACAGGATGTGCGTTATATGCGTGCTCCATGAGAGGTCGTCGGATAAATGAATGCTATGATACTTGCAAGGTGGACTCTTGGTAGTTACCTGACTGCACATTGTGCAAGTAAAAGGGAGAGGATTATGAGCACATGGGAAGGAAACGAGTTGCGTTTTAGAGGAGTTCATTGTCATTTTCCATTTTTTACACCAGTCGGCTATCAGGTTAAGGTCGGTTTGTAAGGTTATGTTATCATCCAGGTTTACTCGGTTTTCAGCAAAGAGTTGAATACAGGATGTTATTTGATCAGGGAGATCAGGGAGGGTGGTGGTGGTGGTGGTGGTGGTGTTGCTTACGTCAGGCAAACACCACCACCACCACCACCACCACCAGAAAAATCATTAACAAATATTAAAAAAAAAAAGCAGGAGTTTAAGAACATTGCCCCGGGGGAGTCCGGACGCTACGGGAGAAAGAGATGACGAGTAGTTTGTAATTACAGTATGTTGAGTACGATTGGATAAAAATTGTCTGATCCATGATGTCTTGGATGGATGAATAGGGAGTTGGTTTAGTTTGAACATGAGTAAACAATGGGATAATTTATTGAATTCTTTAAAAAAATCGATGAATATGGTATGAGTCTGTACGTTATTATCGATGTTGCTTTGTATTTCATGAACAAGTTGAACTAGTTGTGTTTCGCAAGAATATTATTGTCTGAACCCATGCTGGTTTGAAAAAAGGATATGGTTATTTTCGAGATGCTTCGTGACATTTGAATATACCGTATTATATGCTCAAGAAGCATGCATGGGACACTGGTTAGAGATAGAGAGATAGGACGATAGTTTTATGGTGAAGTTCATTCGCCTGATTTGTGTATAATGTGCCAATTTTCCAGTCTGTAGGTAGTTCACCAGAACAGAACGATTGCTGGATATAATTAGCAAAAAACTGACTGAGTGTGATTTGGTGTTTTTCAGTAATTTAGAGTTAATCTTGTCGTCCCCAAAACTGGAAGAGTGCTGTAACCTTTCTATTGAGCTTATTATTTCAATGGCAGCCATGGGAGGGTGATGCAAGGTGTTAAGGTGAGGCATGGTACTCTGGTCATCCGTCGTAAAGACTGAGGTAAAATAATTGTTAAGACTGTTGGCACTTTGTTTGTTTGATAACGACAACTGATTCATCACTCATTAGTTGTACAGGCTTCGAAGTTTTGGGATTAATTACCTTCCAGAACTTTTAGGTTTATTGCGAAGAATGTTTACTAGGTAAGTCAATGTTAAAAAATTTTGACTTTTCCTCTCTAATGGAATTTTTATACGTATTAGCAATCGTATTGTACTGTTCCCAGGCGAGATCATTGGTCATCTGTTTAGCACGGCCAAACAGTCTTCTCTTTCTTCTGTTAAGTCGGTGAGGCAGTTTTGTACACCAGGGATTTGATTTATCACATGCTATTCTATTTGTTGCAATGTGAGTGTCAGCAAGGTGCGAGAGTTTATTTCTGAAGAGAATCCAGTTTTTATTGATCGTTCTGCCTTCATATCCACACCGAAAACTAAAAATAAATATTTCAGGCTCATTGTTAATGGTGAAATAGGTAATTAGCTTCATTATAGTCTTTAATCATTTTAAAATATGGTGTCTCTGCTCAGCCTCCAATTCAATTCTGAAATGAATGACGTCATGGTCACTAATAGGTGGGTGATATGTCATATACTTTACAAATATGTCAGTGGTGAGACACAGATCTTGAACATGACTTGTTCTATGGGTTCATCTGGTAGGTTGGGTAATCATTTGTGATAGATTAAATGTAATGTCTTTAAGTGCTCCTGAAGTGTCATCCTAGAACGGGGACACTCACAACCTTACTATTGCTACTGATAACTGCGAAGGTGCCGTGGCCTGAATTGGTCTACAGTTCCTCTGTCGGAGTCCTCTGTCAGTTTTATTTAATTTGAGTTTAATATATCAGACAAATGCAAACATACATTGCTGCCCTCTTAACACCGCTGTGGAGTTACCGTTGAGTAGTCGCGTAGTTCAGTATCGAGTGGTCTGCAATCAGACGTGGGACCTCTCTGAGACCAGCGATGCTGTCCTCAGGTGACAGACAAAGGGTTCAAGTGTGGAGCCTCGCCTGCCACCGTCCAGTACACCACGATGCCCGGGCTCTCTGCCGGGATCACCACTCACTCGCCCGTAGTCACTTCCGCCACATCACCGCTGACAACAAGTTGTGGGCCCACCGTCCTGTCGGCTCATCAGCAGGTATCGATCAGTCTGCCAAGGCATTTGATTCCTCTTTGAGGCATTCAGTTTGGGAAGGCTGTCAGCGCTGCTGCGCGGGAATGCTGCTTATTTTAGCACATACATCTATACTTAATTGCCTGGCATCCTCGTCAGCCAGTGGGTATCACGGTAAGAGGGGATGTACAAAGTTATGCGATAAGAACAGTGAATAACAAGTTAAAACGAGATAAACAGTTATACTCGGAAGAGCAACATGATTTGGTTAAAAAATGAGCGAACAGTGGGAAGCCATACCGATTAATCGGGCAGCATGTCCCAATCATGAATGGTCCTGGGGAGAAAAGTTAGTATTTTAGTGTGTCAGTCCTCGTAGAAAGTTTTGCTAGCCTTTTTATAATTATTAAATAGAAACATAGTCGGGTTCCAGAATGTATATTTAGATTTTGCCAAAAATGAACTCAAAGCAACAATTATGTTGCGTGAGTATTTCTGTGACCATAAGGGCTCGTTCATGGGGAGAAGAATGTAATCGGTTCGTGGCACACAATAAAGTTGCGCTTCTTGCTTGCTCAGCTGGTAGTACAGTATAAACTCGTTACAAGAGACATTTGGGTATAACATACTACTTTCTGAAGTTTAGTTAGTTTTCCTATCTGTACCATTGGTTCAATTTCGTATCTGCATACAGCATACTCCTTTTACAACAGACTGAAATTATGGTCTCTGTCAAGGTCTGTTATGACCAGTTTAGACTGTAGTGGGAAATTGCTGGAGATTGGACAAACATGGAAGTGAGCACGGGTCAAACCCTCCCTTTGGATACACCTTGAGCATAGAATGCCCGTGCACTCACAAGTTGTCAGGAGGTTTTCGGAATACTCTATATACGTACCGTGAGAGAGCTGAAAGCCACGGTTGGGCAGGGTTGGCACAAAGAAGAACTTGGGGGGGGGGGTGCCAAAAGGGTATGCGCGTACATGTAGACAGTTTGAGCGACCTCGAACGGGGCACGACTTCGAACGAAAGTTGGCGAGTCCCTACAAGGAACGCCGTCTGTCCCTGCTTGCCAGGTGGTACAGCCTGCCGCACCTGTTCGAAGCAACCTCGCGACCATGTCTCTGGTGACCTTGGCTCCCACGGTTGTGGCCCAGTCGGCACCGCAGGTGAGGAGCAGCGCCCCGCGGCGCACGAAAAGCGGGATGAAAAGCCTCCGACGTCGCGCTCCACGCTTTTCGCTCTTGCCTCCACCTCTCCTCCTCCCTCGCCGACCTCCTCCTCTTTGAGCAGACTGGCGCCATCTATTAGGTAGCCGTGGTACATTTGTCATTTCCGTATATTTTCTTTTTTTCGTTTTTGTGCGGCATTCTTTTTTTAGAAAAATTTTTTGACAATGTCAGAAATTACTATCTATCGTAGATGGCATGTACGTTTGATCTTTCATATACCGCAAGACCTTCGCTCCAGCAAAATGTAGTTCCAGGTCGCCTCGTAGACGACGCCAGTGTGTCAGCACAGCGTGTTCTCTCGTCGTAAGAGATTGCGAGAGCTCGGTCGTAAGTGAATGCGAGTGTGCAGACGAGCCTTTCTAGTCGCCGAGAGGAAAAGAATGGCGGGGTGTCACTTTCCAATGCCCGGCTCCCCGGCGTGTGCTCGCTGCCCCACTGCGCCTCGGCTGCGCATGCGCGTTTGAGGCTCAGGAAATGCCTAAGCCTAGACGAAGGTCGGAAGATTGCGTCAGAGGCGGGGCGGCCGAAAGACCCCCCTGTTGTATTCGACCTGTTGGCGACTATGGTTTCTTTTGTCTCGTTTTCTTTGCTGCCATCCAAGTTTGAGGAAAAGAAAACGAGAGAACCCCCGTGTCGCAGGGATCGGGCTCTACGTCAACCTTCAAAGGGTGGTACGCTCGGAAAAGCGCGGGGTGGCGAAAACGGCCGCGCAGCGGATCGAGTTCCGATTTTGGTTGGAGTCATAGCAGAGTAGTTCCAAGTGAAATGCGTCCTTGTGGCAGCGCTTTTCACGATGTACCACTTCACGAACACGCGGTACACTTCACCGCTCTACTCCTTTAAAAAAAAAAAAAAAAAAAAAAAACTGATCCTAGGGAAAAAAAAAAATTGTTTTTTTCTACTTGGCTAGGACAGGCATAACTAAAAACAAATGGTTGTTGAAAAAAAATTTTTTTTTGACCCAATATTTTTGTTACAATAAGAATTTTTCGATTTGTGGGTGAAACCGAAATTGTACCTTTATGGGATGTTGATGATAGCGTTTGTACCCAACTAGTGTGCTCCCTGAGGTCTTGCGAACTTGGAGCGCACACTCGTCGAGTGCAAGCACTATCATCATCATCTCACAGAGTACAAATTCGGTTTTGCCTGCAAATCAAAAAAATTTGTATTGTGACCAATTTTTTTTTTATTACGGTACATTTATTTTGGTATTTGCCTGTCTTAACAAGGTAGAAAAAAAAAATTTTTTTTTTCCTTCGGTTTAGCATTTTTTTAACCATGAACCTATTTTATCTCTTGTTTTATGCAATGTTTTTCATTCTGAGCAGGGACTCTCGAGTTTCGAGAGTCCCTGCTCAGAGTTTTCGAGTTTTTGTCCGCGACCTGCACCTGCAATATCGATTCCCATAACGCGCGAGTTAGTCCCGCGTGTATATCCCGTGACATACAAGTTTGTAGCGGATTCTTGCGTTGTTGTCTGCGATCTGCATGTGCAATATCGTTTCCCATGACAGGCAAGTTTGTAGCACATTCCCGCGTGTTTGTTGCACCATAAAACTTGAATCTGTTGCGTCTGCGATTTGCGGTATTCGTTCCCGTGAGATGCGAGTTCTCGGCGGGTTTCTGCGGGCTTTTCACACAGTAAAACACTAATCTGCTGCACCCGCAACCTGCAGTATCTTTTCCCGTAGGAGTTTGTAGCGGATTCCTGTTTGTTGCATCGTGAAATGAGAATTTGCGGTGTCCGCGATCTGGAGTAGCAGTTCCTGTGTCACGTGGTGTGTAGCAGGTGCCCCGGTGTTTATCATTAATTTTTGACAAAGCTTTGTCGTGGCATCGCCAAAGATAGCCCACCCCATGTTTTTCACCATTTATCTCTATTTTGGGTGGGTGTTTTTTCGGAACTTTACGGTATAGCGACTAGAGGGTTTGAATGGTTCTTCCAGCACCCAGTGGGAACTTTCTGAGGTTTCTTCACAATTTCTGCCGAACAACAAGGTAGCAATGTTTATTTTTATTATATTGAACGCGATGTTTCCGTGTAGCGGGGATAACATGTATGCTTGAGTATCAAACTGTATAATGCAAATAGATGTAGTGAACAAGTGTTGGAGCTAGAAATGTGTGCAACTTTTGACCAATTAGAACTAAAATGTTTTTGATTTTTTGTTATTCTGAATGTCCCGTTGTTGGATATCTGGGACTACCCCTATTTATTCGCATAATAAACATACTCGCATAGTAAACGCACCCACCACCATACCTCGGCAAACCTGACTCATGAGGGCTCTCACTCACCCTCACTCACCCTCATTTCACGGGTGAGGTGAGGGGGAGTGAGTTTCTGAACCAGGAAAATTCATGAGTGTGAGGGTGAGTGAGGGTGAGTGAGGGCCGTGAGGGCGGTAAGGGGTATGAGGGCCATGAGTGCGTGAGGGCGGTGAGTGCATGAGGGGTGTGAGGGCCATGAGTGCGTGAGGGCAGTGAGTGGCATGAGAGGCGTGAGGGCGGTGAGTGCATGAGGTGGTGTGAGGGCCATGAGTGCGTGAGGCCCCCTTCAGATCGAGCATCTATCTCAGCAATTTTGGTGTTAATGGCGGGTTGTTCTCTAGCTTTCCCTAGATCGACACGAATTGCTGAGATCGGGTCCGGCTCGAAATAAGCAAGCAACTCGGAGCGATTCGAATATGTTTGAAGCGGCTGCATCCAATCAGGGACGCAAAATTTTCACGGGATACCTCGTGCCGGTGATGATGAAACCGAAAGACTTGGTTCTGGTTTGAAATCAATCATTTCTTGGAAATAAACTGTTTCAGAAAGGTGCATTAGTATTCTTAACAAGGTTTAAATGCATAAAAACACGTTTATAACGCATAATTGTTTCTAAATAGTGCAAGAAAAATAAAATTTTATGATGACGATGGCAAATTGCAGCAATTGGTTGCTGCGTGTGATCGCGGGCGGCCCGTGTTGCTGGTGTTGCGACGTAAAGTTTCTGGGCGAAATTGCCCCATCTGAAGCTGGCGTGAGGGGCATGAGGGCCGCAAGGGCGGTGAGGGGCGTGAGGGCGGTGAGTGGCGTGAGGGCTATGAGTGTGTGAGGGCGGTCAGGGCCGTGAGGGGCGTGAGGGCCATGAGTGAGTGAGGGGCGTGAGGGCGGTGAGTGCGTGAGGGCCGTGAGGTTCAGTGAGAGTGAGTGAAGGGCTGAAGGTGAGTGTGACTGTGAGGGTGAGGGTGAGTGAGGTGCTGAAGGTGAGTGTAGCTGTGAGGGTGAGTGAGGGACTTAGGTGAGTGTGGCTGTGAGGGTGAGGGTGAGTGAGGGCGACCTAATATGCCGACCTCTGCCCACCACAACAGATATCAATAATTGGACTTGCTTTTCCCCTCGCATAATGAACACACTTCTAATTTTTCAATCCGCGAGTCTCGAATTGCCTTTAAAGGGATACTACAACGAAATTTCGGCGCTCATTTTTTGGTCTATATGTGTTCAAAGGAGCAGCATCACATCGAACATACCAATATCTTGTTAAAAAAGTCACGAAAAGGATTTTTAAAATGAATTAAACGATTAGCAAAGAGCACCTGGTGGATGTCGCTAACGCCTCGCTTGTAATGCCCGTCTAGGAACCTTGACAGCTAGTGACGGAGGTTGTCTCGCCTTTGGCCACGATGAGAGAAGAGGGGCAGGAGGAACTTCCCTCTTCCCGAGAATACCTTTTGTGTGTCGCAGAAGTCGCTATTGTCCCCCTACAAGGTTACAGAAGATTAACCCGTCACTCAAAATTCGTACAAAAGCAGCCGCTTCGGTGGCTGGAACGGCTAGGCCATCCTCTCGACGTCAGCCTCGCCGTAGCTTTGCTCATCTTGAGACGACCTACGTCACGATTGCGTTGGATGTCACGTGCTCTAAGCTGGGCCTTCTCCGAGCGCTTGCCAGAGTGGGCCGTTTATAACGAAAAATACAGCCACCCAGGCTCAAAATACAAACGTGCGATTGTCATGTACGGATATTGTGGATCATATTCAACCTATTTTTGAACACGACGGGAATATTTCAAATTTCGTTGAAGTATCCCTTTAATTTAGCTAGCCACCATGTCAATTTTCTTTTGCCACCAAGCGGTCAAGCCAAGCCAAGCCAAGCCATTCTCGTAATTGCTGCGAGCGGCCGCAAGTACATAGTTGAAAGCGAGCGGCGCGCACGCTTGTCGAAGCTTGGGTCGAGGAATTCCTCAGCCCCAAACATTCTTCGTCTATCGGATTTGATGTCAACAATAGACTCAGTCTTCTGTGGTTTGCTTTCGGACATTGAGTGAATGTGGTTAAGCCTAAGAACGGTCGCATTGCTCTCCATGCTGAGTGGGCTTCGTAGGGCGCTTTTTTTTTTTGGCCAAAGGCACGCCAAAAGTGTCCAAAAAAAGATTTGCAATTTATAGAGCATGATTACTGTAACGCGCCTACAACCAGGCGTGGGCGCGCCTCCGTCACTGGAGACGTGCCACAGAACCCTGCGATGTCATATTGGCACCTAAAATGACATTTGCGCTAAGTGTGTAAATGCACAAATGTTTTCCCGCGTAATGAACCCAAATATGGGTCAACCAAATATGGGTCGGAATGAAGCCTAAATATGGGCCAATTTTTTTGAAAAAAAAAGTGTGTTCATTATGAGAGTAAATACGGCACTTGAAACCGTTTATTATAAAACAGCTGTCTAGAATTTTAATAAAACAAATTATTGGAGAAACGGTAAAAATGAAAACCGTAAAACACAGAAATGAAACTGATATCAACATGAAACGGTAATCATACCCGTAACCGAAATGTTAGATTTCGACGCGCCCACAATTCGCGTCGTCATTCCCTACTCCCGGTGTCCGAAATCGAGACAAGTCGTTGCCGCAGGTGGTGCCCGTGACGCAGCCGTCGCCCCTGCCGCACGGCCTGGTGAAGGGCCCCGGGACGACGGCGCCCCCCCTTTCTGGCAGCCCCGGGGGCCTGCACCCCATCTACACGGTGATGCCGGGAAAGGGGGTCTCTCCCTCGCCGCCCGCCCCCACGACCTCTTCGCACGTGCCGGCCGCCCTCGTCCTGGGGCAGGGACGATTGGGTGAGCCCTCGTTCTCCATTCCTCGGTGTAGCCGAGGCCTTCGTTACTACGTCCGCTCGGTTGCGCAAGTCGTGCAACACCTCCTAGGTGGCAAGATCGTAGCTCTGGAATCTCTACATCAGCTGCCAGCACGGGCCACAGATTGGACTACTGCGTCAGCATACGTCTAGAACTCGTGTTCTCACCAATTGAAGTCCCGGCCTAATGCCGACACAGCCCTCGTGCCCAGTGTTGGCCTGCTGCAAGTGACATAGAAAATCCGGCACTGCAGTCTTGCAATCTACGCTTAGTTTCGCCTTATCTTCTGATGCAGTCGAAGCTAGGTACTGATGGCACCAATTGGACAGCGTCAAAAGTGCACAATCATGGTGTTTGTCATGTTTCTGTACGTGTTCTATCATCGCTGAACCAATCAGTGACCTGCACTTTTGACACTTCTTGATTGGTCTCATTACATCGTAGCGTCGGCTTCGTCCAGACTTGAGCTGAAATGAAGTATAAAAGGTATCCCTTTATGGTGTTGCTTGCAAGAGGGTGCAGGCTCCGCATTTAAAGTTATTATCGCCTTCATCGTTATCATTGAGCACCCTCCATCATGCTTTAGATGTCGTCAAATAGCTTTAAAATTATTTCAAACTGTAGTTTGTAGTCAAATACTTAAAAGTTTTTTTTCCTCGTTAGTTTATCTATCGAAGGCATTTTAAATAGTCACCTGCCTCTCTGGCAAAAAAACTGTGTCCCTGTAAATGCATTATGTTTACATTAGTTGCATCAGGCTGTCCCTAGTTTTTAGACGAGAAATACTATATGCATGTTTCACTCTCTTTAAAGGTGCAGGGCTGCTAATTTATGGTACTAATTGAGGAAGCCTGCTAGCAGGCAAGAATAACCTAATGTGCAGCGCTGTCGCTACAAGAAGTCTGACATGGCATTGGACGCCTTCCTTCGTACAGCGTCTGTACGAAGTTCTCCAGCTGAGCTTATCTGATATTGTTGACTACATCAACTGTGACAGTGCTGGAAACTGCCTAAACTGCAATTTTTCTCCTTTGGGTTCAAAATGATTGTAATGATGTCGATGCCTAGCCCCTGTTGCCTACAGGGAGGGGTGCATTCTGCCGAAAGGTCTAAACTTGGGTGCCAACGTCGATTGGGTTCCAGGGTCTCACATGACCTCAAACGTCACGACGACGTCGCTGCAAACCACGAGCATCCAGGTGGCAGCTGCGGCGTCCCGTCCCATCACGACGACAGTGTCCATCCAGCCACCCTCCGTCTCTGTGCCGGCCGGTGAGACTCGTTTACCGCCAGATCAGTGCTTAAGAGTTTCTGGAAGCTGAAGGCCCCTTTTGCACAGTAGCATTTGGCTACATTTTCTTGCGTTACGTTATGGGATGACCGCAAGTCACCGTGACATCTGTGCTTCGTGCGAAACTACTCCTTGAATTGCGTGCGAAACTACTCCTTGAATTGGTTGCTACAGTTTGCACGAAGCACTGGCATCCCGATAACTTGCATTCTCAAACCGACATAAGCACTCGTAGTGTAGTCATTATATCGAACCAGCATTATGAGTATTTAGGTATAAAGCCATTACAGACATAAAATAGCATGGAAGGTCTGTCAATATTTCTGCCTTGGAATAGCTGCCGTACCATTGTAAAAATATGGTCGTGCAACCTTCGGCCAGATTTAGTGCACGAGCGCATTGAAACCCTGAGGGGGGACGCCCTTTTTCCGCCATGCAGCCAAGGTGTTCAGCCAGGCACCCATGGTCCATGGTCCAAGTCTTGAGAGCTCGTCGTCCGAGCCGACCTCAGCCGGCAACCTCTTTGTCGGCCAGCCAACGAGCCGGAGCCTGGCGGCGGCCATGTCGTCGTCTGCAGCGGTGTCGTCGACTGCTGCCTCCCTACCCGCCACGGTTGTGATCTCGGAAAGCCGGACCGACAGGTGAGGGCACGAGCGATTGGACCCCGTTCACTTAATTCTTGTCTCTAAGAAGATCGAGGTTGTCAGGCTTCAATGCTGTGAAATCAGCCGGAAAGTATGGGAATAGTGGCCAATTTTTACTGGTATTATGCGAAAGGCAGCCAGAAAGCATAGGAAAAAGCTTACCTTGATACTTTTCGTAAGGCCGATTGACTCTGAAAGCGTCCTGGGTTTGTGTCGACCTGTTTCGAACCGTTTCAATCTAATGCCTCTGTTTTGCCCATTAGGCCTTCAAGGTACCAAACTGCTTCCTCCCCCTCCCCTCTTCCTCCCCACAGCGCAGTTGAGTATGAACTGCAGATTTATAGAATAATATAGTAGGTGTGGAGGCATTTCACCATCGGACTATATTTGTGGCAGCATTTCTTTTTAGAGAAAATGATGCAGTGCCCTTAAGGGGGGCGTGCAAGGATGAAAAAGAGAAGTTTTTGTACACAGTAGTTCCTCATTATAACGAAATTTCTTTTTTCAAGTTGTCGGTCCCATCGAAGTTGAACATGGTCCCGACCAAAATGCATGCATTTTGAATTGGATTATTCTCAGTGTATCGGCGGCTGACCACGTTTGTTACGAAGGCCGAAGTGCCAAAAGCATGCAAGCCTATATGAAAGCAGACTGAGACCCTAGCGTTCCCTCCCCCTCCTCCACTGAGGCAATGGAAAACTGGGAAAACGGCAAAAAAGAAAACGGAGCGATGGGTGATGGAGGGCAGAGTGCTGCTTCCGATGTTGAGGTGCTGAGAGTCAAGCAGTCCGGGAGCAGCGTCTGCATTCCGACCCTACCCAAGTTGCCTGGGTCAAGGAAGCAAAGGAGGCCGGAGAAGATCATCCTGTCGGGAGCCCCGCGCCGCGCGTGGCTTAAATGGGCGGCGTAAACGTGCGGCGTAAATGTGTGTCGTACGAGAGTGTTTACGAAAGGTCACTTTCATCTGCGAGGTTAAAAAAAGTGGCCGACTTAAGTTCGAAATCGCTAAGGAATTTAACATTCTGAAATCAACCGTTCAGCACTGTCGACCATCTTGCAGAACAAGCAAGGCATGTTGGATGGGTTCGCGAAGAGTTCCTCATGCAAGAAGAGCATGCCTATTAAATTTTCTCATGCGTGCGTGCATGCTTGCCGAGTCAGCGCACGATTTCCAGTGATGCAACAATCTACAGGAGTGCGTGCTGCGAACACATTGGTGAAACCACCGAGGATAACTTTAATTCGTTCGCGCTTGTCGATGCGCACATTCCCGTTGTGGCTCCTGCCACGGATGCTGCGATTGTAGACTTTGTGTGCAGCCAAGGTAAACACGAAGCGGCATCGGAAAGGCACCTCAGGAAACACGGACGACTGCAGAGATGCGAAACATTTGACGGCTGCTTCGGCCGTCGAAAGTGGAGCGCAGCGGGGGTGACAGTGCTCTTGCGATGTCTGAAGCAGTTTGAGGAGAACTGACGGCCGGATAAAATTATCGGCAAACTCTACTTAATTATTTTTTTACCCCTCAGTAAAGCTGCCGCAAGTTGTCCATAACTAAGGTTCGATTAATTATATGGTAAGTGTGTTCCGCAATGTTCCCGTCCACCTTCATGACTGTTGCCCCTTGGTTTTTGTTATTTTTTTTACTTTCGGTGCTATGGTTACCGCTTTTGTAGAATCTTTTGCCGTGCCATTTGACTTCGTTATAACGGGGAACTACTGTACATTCACAATTCCTCCTCTTCGTGTCACACTGCATATCATTTCGATGGCAAGTGCTACTTGTCAAGTGCTATCGCACCTTCACTGCATTCGATAAAATGCCCAAGCCAGGCAATTCCTTTTTTTTTCTTTGGCTGTCTTAAAGTTTTATTACAATCCCAACATCCCGATTGCCATCAATAGACTGCCAAAAGTCAGCTCCCCTGAGATTTCGAGAATGATTCTGTTCTCACTTTTCATTTTATATAGCTAGGACTCATCCCTCACTCTTATTCCCTGGTTCCTTCATTGCAATCTTTGTTGCCAGGGTGCTCTACGAAATCTTTTTCAGTATCTGTCATGCAGTTGCTCTTTCTAAGTTGTTTTGGTACTGGCACATTTTGCAGGCCAGCCCAGCTTTCTGCAGCTCCGTACGCGACATACCTCTACGAACAGTACCCGATTCAGGGGACCACCCTATCCATGCACCCGTACGCAACCACCGGCGCGGGTGTAACGCCCGTCTTCCCCGCTACTTCTGTGCGGCCCACACGTGAGTTACAGCCATGTGCAGTTTGTTTAGGGGCTAGTTGTATGCTGCTACAGCTTGAAAATGTATTGGGGATCCTACATGCCACCGATAGCAAACTAAACAGCAGTTTTATCTTGTAAGCATGCAAGCTGTTACGGCATTCATGGTCCAGGGAGTCCACTTGTTTTGAACAATTTTGGAGCTCATATGTACTTTTGATCTCGCAAAAGCTTTGACGCTTCAAAAACACAATGTGAAAAGATTTGGCACATTTCGAATGACTAACTTCATGACTTCATTACCTTTCAGTATTGTTGCACAATTGACTAAAGACTCGGTGAGGTGACAACCCAACCGAAGTTGGGTTGAGTGCTTTATTTTTCAGAAAACGGACTGTTTTTGCTGGCAGGATGCCTGCATGTCACATAGACTAAAGACTATCAGTAGCTTTCCTCAATGAGGCATAAACATGTATTTCCCACTTTGTATTTTTGGTCCATAAGTCTATCTGCTCAAAAATGATCCTTTTAAAGGTGCACTCAAGTGGATTCTGAAATCGTCTAATTACCGTCATAACTCGATCTATAGGCTCTAAGCTTCCTAAGGAGCCCGAAATTACAATCAAGGGCAGCCAATTTCCCTATTAAAATTCCAATCAAATATCGTGCTACGCCCCCTTTTCTACTCCATGGTGCAGAACACCAGGGGGAGCCACCAGACGGGAAGGCAGCAGGGGAGGGCACGCGGCAGCCAATCATAGGTGACGGCTTCCCGGCATACTAAATTTTCAAATATGCGCACCTTCGAAAAATCTGTCCGCCGGGAAGTCGTCACTCGTGATTGGCTGTCGCGTGCCCTCCCCTGCTGCCTTCCCGTCTGGTGGCGTCCCCTGGTGTCCTGTGCCACAGCGCAAAAAGAGGGGTGCGGTACAATTTTTGATTGAACTTTTAATAGGGAGATCGGCCGCTCTTGAATGTGATTTTGGGTTTTTTAGGATTTGTAGAGCCCGTAGATAGAGTTACGACAATAAATAGACAATCTCAGAATCCACTTGAGTACCCCTTTAAGAAACAGCAAACCTGGGAAAAAAATTTGTTTTTTTACCTGGTTAAGACAGGCATGTCTCAAGGTAAATAGTTGTCCAAAAAGCAACAACATGCCAAATACACTTAAAGGCTGACGTACAACCTTGGTTTTCTGCAAGGGAGATTATCCTCTTAACACTCCCCCTCTCCTCAGTTGTAAGGAAAGTCAAGTTTAGGGTAAGGTAAAAAGTGGAGAGGATACAGGAAAGAAGGAAGCGGGCAAAAGTTGAAAGCGCGTGATGTACGTCGCCTCATGTAGGAATGCGAAAGCAATCCTACGAGCAGCGCACCACATTTTCCTTTTGCACATGGCACTCCGGCGGTAACATCACGCTCCCCCACTGCGCAGACGCGCCGCCCCCCTCCCAGCCTCACGGCTTCCCCGACGAGGCATCTGCGTTGCTGTGCTTTCCTTTGTGTTTTATTTCTGAGGCGTGTCCGCTTTGATCTTGAACGGCGCATGCTTGATGACATATTTTTATGGCCACCTTTCGAGCACAACGCCGACGCCGTCTTTTCGTGTTATGAAACATATAAGGCTTTTGCCTTAAAAGAAATTTTTCTTTTGCCCTATATTTATGTACAATATAAATCTTTTCAATATGCAGGCGAAACCGAAACTACGGTATACCCCTGTGGGATAATGATGATAGCATTTATACCCTATTGCAGTGTAGACCGCATATAACGTATGTCGCGGGAGTCACGAAAATCCACACTATAAGCGGTACCGCGTTATAACCAAAACATCAATTTTTCAGGCCAAAATACATGCCATGAGACAGCTTACCATTGTAAATCAAATTTATTTTATATTAGAATAAAAATAAAGCTTAGTTTTAGGAAAGTCTTTATTTCACCAGACTAGTACACTTCTCTCTCAAGTGTGTCACACATTTTGAAAGAAATGAGCGACTTTTGCCTGGCGCAGCCTTTAACGGCGTCGTGGGTTGCGGACGGACGTTGCTAGCGTTCAGGATGGCTAACCCTAATCACTTTTCTCCGGTGATGAAAACGCGTGAAAATTTGCATCCTTTATACGGTATGCGCCAGTAATACCTTCAACTTTAGCGCAGGCATGAAATGCTCCAAATAAGAAATCCGGGCGATGTTCGAAAACACAAATGCAGAAGTCACCACTGTAGTCAAAGTAAACGAACACGACGACATGGGCGTTTCTGCCGTCTTGAGAGTGCCGCCACGACATCGCCGCACGAGTAGGTGGATCTTCCCTTCTAGTACGTGCTGGGTTATCATAGCGACACACAACGAAAATTCAGTCAAGGATAGCGCTTTTACGCGGAAGGAACCACGCCGTCTACGTTGACAATCGCAACCGACGCCACGTTTGCGCATAGAAGTAGCCGGCCTGCGACCGGCATGCAACGCTCGCGAACACTTCTCCTCGACCTGCGATTGGCCTGTCGTTGCGGTTGCGGAGGGACGCACGCACGTGAACGACACGTGCGTGCTTCCCTCCATCGCTATGGCAACTGAAGCCTCTCTCTCTTTGTTTCTCACCGCTTCTTCGAGCACCCTCCTTGCCCCGCGAGTGCCGTGTGTTGCGGCTCGCGCCATGAGTGTCGCACAGGGAAGCGTGCTCTCTGCGTCGGTCGGTCGGCGCGGTCGCCGGGCTGTTTCGAAAACCGCACTATAACTGGTATTTCCCTTCGCGTGCCTGCATTTTAAGCGGTATGTAATTACATGGAGTTCTATGGGAGGCGAACCGGTGGTTTAAAAAAGCCGCGTTATACCCGGTCCTGCACTATAAGCGGTTACGTTGTAAGTGGTCTATACTGTAGTGTGCGCTCTGAAGTCCAGCAAACTCGGAGCACACACAAGTTGTGTACAAATGCTATCATCATCATCCCACAGGAGTACAGTTTTGGTTTTGCCCCCAAATCCATAAAGTACAGTTGAACCTCAATTTAACGAAACCCGATTTTACGAGTTTCCCGATTTAACGAACAAATTCGTATTCCCCGCGCAGCCTATCCCGAAGAATGTCTTTCTCGACTTTACGAAGTTCCCGATTTAACGAAATAATTATGGGGTCCCGGTGACTTCGCTAAATCGAGGTTCAACTGTATTTTTGTGGCATATATATTGGGTTATAAAATTTCTTTTTTCGACAGACATTTATTTTGAAACTTGCCTATCCCAACGAGGTAGAAAAAATTTTTTTTTCCCTAGGTTCAGTTTTTTTTAAACATAAAATGGTGGTGTACAATGAGAGTGACTCAAAGCCCTTTAATGACTAGCTAGCAAATCGTCTGTCCTTATACTCCATCCATCCTTAAAAAAAACAGTGAAATGAAGAAAAAAAAAATTGAAAAGCTTAAAAGGTACGGAAACAAAAATTGAAATATTCAAATTTCGTTCGGAAATGAGTCAAGCATGACGGATAATAACCGTAAACGATAATCGCACGTTTGTATTTTGAACGACTGGCTATATTTTTCGTTCCGAACGGTGCACTTGAGCAAGCGAACGGAAAGTGTGATGCGTCATGGGATATCCGGCGCAAACAAAAAACAGAAAGAAAAGATTCCCCACATTCGTGACGTAGCAAGGCTAGCGAGGTTATGAGCTTTGCCCTTGGTGGCGTTGTCAACATTGTGGTGGTGTCAATAGCGTCAGCGCGTTACAACCGAGCCGTTCGAAGTACCCGTGGGGTGACGAGCGTGTGGCTGGCCCAAGGAGCACGTAGCTTCCACAACACTGTCAGCTTAGGGTTTAACAGGGTGGGGAAAGCAACTTTTGTTCGAGTTTTGAGCGACGGGCTAATCTTCTAGGGGGAGAATGGCTGTGTCCGGTTGCACTAACGAGGGTCAGGGAAAGAGGGGAGTCCTTCCTTTCAGTCTTCTTGGATCGTTTGGTACAATGCGCGACTTGTGAGTTGAGCTATACTTCGTTTCAACTTCCGTCCGAGCGCAGCCAAAGGCTGAGGGACGATTTGCAACTTCGAGAAGAGCATTCCTACACACCACAAAGTAGTCCACAGACGCAATTTTTTTTTAATAACTATTTTGTGCGTAAACATTGCACAATATTGCAGATGTGTACTGCTGAAAATGATTTGCAACTGAAGAAATTAAATATCTGAAGTTTGTTTTTATTAATATATGTAAATGCATGTGGTTTGGTGAAAACACATACATCCTCTGGCAACACGGCTGCAGTGCTCGTTTTTTCTGTGTGATTTCGTTCCCGTAATGGCCTTTCCTTACCGAGTCGCTTCAAAACGCCCTTTCGCAAAGGCACGTGTGGGCGTCAGGCGCGAGAGGTCGTGATGAATGCCTACTTTGAAATTCGGCAGGAGACTCCGGCCGCGCCGTACCGCGGATGCCTTGTAAACAAGAAAAGCGTCCTGGCCACTACAACTCACTGATACGCGGCGAAATCAGGGCACCCCTTTACCTGCCGATTGTCGTATCTGCGTGTTTATGATAACAGCATGCCATGATGTATGCACTTTTATGTATGACGTCAGAGTGCTGTGCGCCTGCGTCCGGTGTATCTTATCTGGATATATTGAGCCCCGATTTGATGTACCAGTAGTTGTTGGTCCCGAGGCTGCCTGTGTTGCACTTCGCAATAAAGTGCTTTGCCAGACTTGCATCCCGGCCCCTAAATGTAACAATTGGCGACGAGGATGGTGTAAGAAGCCAAGGAACGGAAGATGACCGCAACTATCGGGAAGCCACCAGAGTTCCAGGCGGACAGCGGAAACTTCGAGATTTATCTGGAACGCTTCGAGCTGTTCGTCGCAGCCAATGGCGTCGCAGAAGAAAAGAAACTGCAAGTCTTCTTGACGGCTATCGGTGAAAAAGCTTACACCGTCCTCCGGAGCCTGCTTCTGCCGAAGACGCCGAACAAGGTATCGTACCAGGAAGCTGTCAGCATCCTTCAAAAACACTACGCACCTAGACGTTC